TCCACAAGGCAAAAGTGCAAGGTTCAATGAATTTCGACTCTTCAGCCTCAACACAAACCAATAATGTAACTAATAAAAAATATTTAAGCACAAAATTGTTCTTACAGTAAACCATAAACCATCTAAAAAATCCATGATAAAATATTTCTAACAAATTAAATGTATTATTTGCAACTAGAAAAGTTGAGGTGGTGTAAAAGAAAGCCCAGAAAAGGCAAGAGTAAGGAACACACCTTACCCACCATAAGGCTCATGCCTTGAGGTGTGCCTCAGTAATTCAACATATAAGCCTTGACAAGGGGCTGTAAGGCGCCTAATGAATACCGCACACAAGAAGCAACTAAGGCTCAAATCTCAGGACTTTCGAAAAAGAGCTGAACCAGACAAAAAGGGCACAAAGGGGATAATAAAAGGTTCCAAGTACTATCCTTTCCCCGCATATCCCACCATCCTAATTCAGTTCGCAGTAACACGTCCATCAATTCCAATATCACTCGCACTGAACCCTGGAGCTACCTTTTCAGCTGGAACTTTCGAGACTCTAAATTAACTGTTTTGGACCTGATTCTCAAATCAGTAACTCCAAAGACAAGTTGCACAAACCCCAACTAAAAGTTCTTGATTATAGGAACTCACATGACATACCCTTTAGTATTGCAAATCAGCACAACAATCCAATCCCAGAATTCGAAAAAACATTTTCTTTTAACACGAACTACAGCAAAGCCTATATTGCCTTGGGTCGAAGTTATAGTTTGTACCAAAAAAATGCTAACATCAGTTCATTTTAAAACGACCAAATAATTCTAAACTGCAGAGAAAAGAAAAGAAAAGAAAAGCATCAAATTGTCTAGCATTACTAAAATAGGCAGAATCCCCGCGAAGTCTCGAGAGACCAAACGACAAAAAGTAAAAAGACAATCTTGTACGAATAAAAAGCAAAATTAGACACCCTTTCTTTAACTTACTATTTAAACATCGTTAAACTACAAATCAAACATGAAGCCCATACTCATGACAAGAATCTAAGTTTAGTAAATGCGGAGGAGCACTGACGAGTACTTACAGCCATTGGAGTGTTTCTGATGGAGGGAAGACGAGAGGGAAGATTTCTCTTCTGCAAATTTTGTAGTTTCCAGTAGATGTAGGGTTTTGGTGGAAGCAAATTGGGGTTTTGTTATTGGTTTATTTTATGAATAATGCTAAGTGTACACAATCTTTTACACAATTTTTTACACCCACCTCACATGGAGGGGGAGCCCACACATAATAAAATAATTGTGGACCTCCCTCCATATGAGAGAGGTGTAAAAGATTATGTAAAAGTGTGTTTACATGTAGCATTACCCTTATTTTATAGGTTATCCTCTGTTTGGTTGAGCAAAACAATTGATAAAAATTTAAGCAGCTGTTTGATAGAGAATAAAATCAATTTTTTAGTAAATTTAAAAATTGATAAAATATTTAGTTAAAAAATTATGATTGACAAGTTAAAGTCAATAATTAATTTTAAAAAAACATTTTATTAAACTTCTAAGCACATATTTTAATTAATATTAATTAAAATTTACTAAAATTTTATTTTTAGCAAAATTAAATAAGGATATATTTGCGTATCCTACGCACACTTAGTCCTTGTCTGTCACAGATTTTTTAACCAAAAAAATTAATTTGTGTACCGTTACTTTTTTAAAAATGCAGCCATTGTTGACTATCTTAGACACAGGTGGGACCCACCGTTTGAAAAAAAAAACAGCCATTTTTCTGCTTAAAATCTGCTGGAAATTGGTAACAGACATGCCCTTAAAAATGCCGAGCAAATTAGAGCGAATTCTCCAATCGAAAATGGCTTATCATTTTTTTTTGAAAGTGTGGTTTTAATTCTCAACTTATTTATTAACATTGTAAGATTGGATCACGTGATGAAAATCAACCGTGTGAAAATTAAAATTGCACGTGGAAAATATGAAGCGGTTTGAAAATTTTGCCTTCAACTTAACCCAGGTGAAAAT